AATAGATTTGATGCATTGAACACCAATGACTGAAAACCAGAAGGATTGTGGGAGGATATCAAGAACATTATCCATGAAGAAAGCAAGAGATCACTAAAAAGATGAGAAAAGAAGAGAAGACCAAAATGGATGACAGAAGAGACTCTCAAACTTGCCCTTGAGTGGAGAGAAGCTAAAGCCAATGGAAAAAATGACAAGTCATATAATCATCAGGATTGGAGGAAGAATCATTAACAACCTGAGATATGCAGACGATACAACTTTGCTTGCTGAAAGTGAGGATGACTTGAGGCACTTACAGATGAAAGTTGAAGAATACAGTCTGCAGTATGGATTACGTCTCAATATAAAGAAAACAAAAATCCTCACAACTGGACCAATGAGCAGCATCACAATAAATGGAGAGAAGATTGAGGTTGTCAAGGAGTTCATGTTGCTTGGTTCTACAATCAATGCCAATGGAAGCAGCAGTCAGGACATTAGACAATGTGTAGCACTGGAAAAGTCAACCATGAAGGAACTGTTTCAAGTGCTGAGGAGCAAGGATATCTCCTTGAGGACTAAGGTGCGCATGACACAAGCCATGATATTTCCAATCGTCTGATATGCATGTGAGAGCTGGACAATGAATAAGGAAGATCGAAGAAGAGTTGATGCTTTTGAGTTGTGGTGCTGGCGAAGAATGCTGAAAGTACCATGGACTGCTCAAAGAACTAAGAGATCTGTCCTGGAGGAAGTGCACCCGTAATGCTCCTTGGAAGCAAGAATGGCCAGACTTCGTCTCACCTATTTTGGTCATGTTGTCAGAAGGGACCATTCCTTGGAGAAGGATGTCATGCTTGGTAGGGTGGAGGGTCGACGAAAGAGGGGGAGGCCTTCAACAAGATGTATTGACATGGTGGCTGCGATGATGGGCTTAAGTATAGCAGGGATCGTGGAGCTGGTGCGGAATCGGGCAGTGTTTCGTTCTGCTGTGCATGGGGTCGCTATGGGTCGGAAATGACTCGACAGCACCTAACAACAACAAGATAAGAATCACATCTTTTTGTGTCCCAATTGTTGTTGTTATTTGCCGTCGAGTCAGACCCGACTCATAGCGACCCCTCCTTGGATTTCTGAGGCAGTGCCACTACAGAAGTAGATTGCCCAATCTTCCTTCCGAGGAGTGGCTGGTGGATTTGAACCGCCAGCCTTCTGGTTAGCAGTCAAGTGCCTTAGGCATCTGCAAAAGCCAGAAGTTGGAGAAATATTTACTCTTCTTGACAATGCTAGTAATGATGATGATGCTGACAGTGATTAATAATGCCTATTGATGAAGATGACTTAATAGTGATGAAATCTCACAGAGAGAGCTAAACTGCCCAGGACCACTTAATACCCAGCAAACCTGGTATTTTAAATCTGATTATAATCCTTGAGCCATGTGCTTTCTCCACTTCTCCTTTATGACATGTGGGGTGAGGGTGGGAAGAGGCCTCTAATCTGGCAGAGGCCCCTTTAAAAATGTACCCAGGCTCCTCCTCTGCCAACCAAGTTGCTAAAAATACTACTACAGCAAAAGCTGAAATATTTGCAGAGAAAACTGAATTTCCTGCTACCCCCATTCCCTCCACTCAATTGGGTAAAATCCTGACCTAAGAAGCCCCCAGATCAGCACCACCAAAAGCACAGACCTCCTACTTTCCAGCCCCCTTGTTAGCACAGAGTCCCTCTGTGGGCTTGAGCTGGGATGCTATGTTCAGAGAGTACCCACTCCAGGGAGGGAAAGCCACAAATATTGGCAAATAGATTGCCATGTGCCTTGGCTTTTTCTCTTTGCTTATTAGGACCAATCCTATCCAAATCCCCCTCCATCTGTCCCAAGAAGGATCTCTATTGGATCTCAGAAGCTATATCCTCTCTTTTATCTAACAATCGCCTTTTCTGCCTGTCTTGACTTCTTTTCTATATTCCTCGACTCTCATGCTTTGTGCTAGATCCAGCCCTTGGTATGGCCATGCCCCTGTGCCCACCCTCCAGGAGCTCCTGTTGTTTCCAGTCCTGCAGCTCTTCTCCTTTAATAGTGATGAGGGCTGGGGAATATAGAAGAGAGTTGTTGAAATTCAAGGAGTCAAGAAATGCGACTACAGCATCCAAGCCCAGCTTGTTAATGGGTTATACTCCAAAACTTGATGTGTGGCACCAGACAGACATGGAGACTGACTCCTGGCATTGCTCTCCTAAGGACCAGGACCTCCTGGAGTGAGGCTGCCTGCTTCTCAAAGTACTCAGACCTAGGCATTCTTCACTGCACCTTCCCTTTTTCTAGCTCAGCTATTCAAAACTTAGTAGTTCAGAGTCTCACCCAGACAAACCCCAACGGCCTGGCCCATCACCAGGGGAAATGTGTGACCTTGATATAAGGTGGTGAAGAGTCCACTTCTGTGCACATCTTTGTGGCTATCAATGTGTAACAGCCTGTCCTCTCAGTGTGTATCCATGGATGTATAGCTGTGTGTGTGTGTGTGTGTGTGTGTATGACTTTGAGTCTATCTGTATATGTTATTTATATGAGGCCTTATGTGTTGCTGCTTCTGCCTCTGAGTATCTGAGTTTGTAAGTGTCCGTCTTCTTATTTGGGTCTCTGCTTTCCTCACTGTCTGTCTTTTTCTCACCTCAGAGCCTGCCCATCCCCCAGGGCCACCACTCTGGCCAGTTTTACGTAGGTGCCTCAAGTGGGCTGTTGCTTGAAATGATTGTTTTGCGGATGGAACTGCCAGTTGCCATATCTGGTCTCCCAATGGGTCTGCCAGTGTTCAGAGACACCCTCACTCCCACACAAAGGTGTTTCTCAGGAAGAGTGAAGCGCTGTGCTGCCTATGTGGGAGTCGGAGGGGGAGGGGGGCTGTAAAGATTTCCCCCTTACAGCTCTGACCAGCAGGAAGAAGGACCCAGAGGCAGCACAGCCTGCAGAGGGATGTTGCCTAGCAACTTAGGAGACTTTGCTGCAAACTCACCAAATCCCGAATTCCTCAGCTCTAATTTGGGAAGAGAAAAGCAGAGTCCAGGCCTAACACCCCTCTGCCCCCATTTTCCTCCTTCACCCCACCTTCTGCATTCTAGAGTTGATGTCCAGTGGGAGCTGGCACAACCTACAGCCCCAGATGTGCAAAGGCCTGAGTACCAAGGACACCCTGCCATTTGGTGGAGGTGGGGGGTGGACGATGTGCCAGAGACAGATTGGGGAACAGATTTTCAGTTACAAGGGTGGGTGGGTCCCAAACATGCTGGGAGAGATACCCCTACACCCCAAGCCCTGGAATCCCAGCCAGCATCCAGCTCAGCTTGGGGGCTCAAGCTGGCTAATCATGTTTCCATCCTGAGTGGACACTGGAATCTCTCTCCCCCTCGCTTTCCCTTTGACAAGCAAAGCCTCTGACTGAACTGTCTGATAGGAAGGAAGCTTGTAACAGCCATACTGTGACTGCCCAGTGAGCTGGGGATTTATTATACAGTTGTTTCAGGATCGTCTGCCTCACTCAGATCCACTAGTCATTTTCCCCTCCCTTGCTCTTCTACTTCAGTTAACATGGCCTAAGCAGCAACTGTCCTTCCTTCCTTCCCTACTCTGAACCTAAGCTGAGCAAAGACTTTCTTTCTAGCTTTCTCAGAGATGGCCCATCCTAGCCTTATAATACGCTACACTGCCAGCTCTGATGTCCTGACAAGTTGGGGGAAAATGGGGACCACAAAGTGACAGACTATCTCTTCTAGATGATCCCCCATATCTCCCCTTTCCAGCTGCTCATAAAGCTCACATCCTTCCTCCACCATAAACCCAAAGAGCCAATTACTTCTGAAATTCTTTTCTTCTGAAATTCACATTTAGGGTATGTTTCTTCTTCTTGGGGACAAGGGTAACAGTAGCCAGTTATTGTCTTAGCCTGATCAAAAAGTTAGGGAGTGTCTGGTATGAGAAGTCAAAGGGACTGTTTCTTCCAAATCTGTAGATAAAACACCTACAAAATGCATGTTGTGCGTATATTTTGTCTGTTTAATGCAGGATGAATGGATGGATAGATAGATAGACAAATAGATATGTAATGTAGATATCTTGGTTACGGCTAGGGTGATTGTGTGTGTGTGTGTGTGTCCATAACATAGGGCACCTGCATTTATCTGCTCAGGGTGCATACATAAGGTCTTTGTAGTTATTTTTGCAAGTTGTATCTGCAGAATAAATGTCTCTGCATGTCGAGAGAATTCCACGTTTTAGTAAGACTAGGGAGAATCATATATGGACAATTGGGATCTGCGAGCTTTCATGTTTATGAGTCCATCACCGGTTTGTGCACCCAGTGGACTGATAGGTTCTACAGAGGGCAGTGGTGAGGGGAGTTTTTTTTACTGCATGTCTCAGGAAGCTTTTTTTTTTTGTCATCTGAGAGGGAGGGAAGTTAGAGGGAGCCATATTTGGGGCTTCAGCTAGGTTGTGGAAGTGTGGAGAGGTGGGTGAGGGGTACGCGGTTTTCTATATATGGGTGGGAGGGGATACTGTGCCCAGATGTGTATTTGGGTCCGGGATGTCGGGGGCCTCCTTCTGCCTGCTCTGGCATACATCTGCCTGGCAGTCTGCCGTTTACCAAGAAGGGGACTGAGTTTCGGAGGATAAAGTATGTAGGAGGAATGGATGGAAGTGTGTAGGCGGAGGGGTTGGGGCAGGAGGAGGAGCGAGGCAGAGGGAGCCGAAGGAGGGAGTGGTCCTCCATCCGTTCTCCCAGCCCACTCTGACAAAGGCTTCTCCTGATTGGCTCCTGGACCGTGGGGCTCAGGTTACATTCGCAAGCCGAGCTGAGCGCGGGAGAGAGGACCCAAGAGGAGAGCAGCTGGTTCGGCGAGGGTCAGCGGGCGTCCCAGAGCCCCAGAGTCCCCACCCAGCCTGACATAGACCCCACCCCCGCCCTACTCTAACCTCAGCCAGGCGCAAACCTCCGCCCCAGCCAAGGACCCCCAACACCAGCATGGACTGCTGCACCGTAAGTTAGAGGGCCTGGGGGACGGGCCCTCAGCTTGGTGTGGGGCAAAGGGCTCCCGAGGATCCCCGGGAGGGCGATTGAGGGATGGTATTGGGTGCAGAAGAGCAATAGGGGTCCCTGCTGGGACGTGGGTGGAGGTGATGGCAGGCGCCCGCCTGACTTGGAAGCCCTAGGAAAAATGCTCTCCACCCTGCGGGGGCGTCTGAGCGCCATCCGCCAGACAGTCTAGGTTGGACTGGGAGCTTGACAACCTGCTAGAATGCAAGGTAGAGTCCAAGGGTTCAAACTGCAACAGGAAAGCTGCAGGTTAGACGAGAAGGGGAACTTCCCCCAGACTGACGCTGAAAACGGTTGCCTAGTGAAGCTGCGACGATTCCTTTCCTCGTAGTTTTCGGCCCCCATTCCCATTCCCCATCCCATTGCTGCCACTGTCGGTGGGCAGAAAGATTTTTCCTCACCATCCTCTGACAGTGGTACAGCGGAGGATAGGATAATCAGATTATATTGATTAGTTAGACCTGACGTCGGGCAGCAAACAGCCTAGTCAGTGTGGTTCTGGGGAGGAGTCGGTGCTGCCCCAAACGCCTTATTTCGCTCTGGAGGGGGCTGCGTGAAGTGACCGCGGGAGAGCTCTGCTGGTGAGGGAAGGAAGTGTCTGTAATTTGTCACGCCCACACGGGAACCTGGATGCAGCAAGTGCCTAACGAGAAAGGTTGCTATTAAGGTGACTTGCTATGAAAGCGCCTGACACAAGAGCTGGGTCCTGGCTCAGAGGAGTACAGTAAATACATATGTGTGAATGTATAAATAAATAGATATTCAAATAATAAAAAATATTTTAAATGTAAATATTTGTTTAAACGTATATAGATCGTATTATTTAAATAGGAGCACTGGTAGAATAGTGCCTGAAGCACTTGACTGCTAACCAGAAAGCTGGAGGTTCAAACCCACCAGCCACTCCTCGGAAGGAAGATGGGGCAATCTACTTGAGTAGTGATACTGCCTCGGAAACCCAAGGAGGGGTCGCTATGAGTCGGGTCTGACTTGACGGCACATAACAACAACAATTATCTAAATATTTATTTATTTATTTTTGACCTGTAAGTATGGAAGATAGACGACTTGAAGTCCTATAAACCCAATCATTCAGTCAACCCAGCTAATAATACAAGAGATTACTGAATTGGCCAGCTTCCCACCCTCCACCCTATGGTGTACAAAAGAAAAAAAAAAATGTAGAGTGGAAGGGAAGGATAGCCCAGTTCCATAAGGAGTGAGACTTCCCTACATCTCACCAAGAGACAGAGTTTAGGGGCAAGTTGTTATGGTTATTATGATGTAAACTCTTGTTGGTATCAGTAACAGCTGTCAATTTGTGAATGCTTACTATATGACTGAAAAAAAATAACCAGTGCTCCCTCAAGTTGATTCTGACTAATGGTGACCCCATGTGTGTGTGAGGAGAAGCGCATTCCATAGGGTTTTCAAGGCTAATTTTTCAAAAGTAGATCACCAGACCCTTCTTCTGAGGTGCCTCTGGGTGGCTTGAACCACCCAGACATTCCCATGTTTCTAGTACTTTGTATTTAATCATCATAGCAACTCTATGAAATGGATATTATTTTTCCCATTTTACAAATATGCTAATTGGGATTTTAAAAGGTTACATGATTTGCCCAAGGAGGCACAATTTGAACTTAGCCCTATCTGATTCAAATAGTAGTACTTTAACCTGTACTCTAAATATTCATGTTTTTTTCTCATTATGAAAATTAATATGCTTATAACAACCAGAACAGAAATAATGAGAATGTTGACATACTGTGAAAAATGTAACCTATGTCACTGTTCAATGGGAACCTAATTTGCTGTGTAAACTTTCACTGAAAATACAAGAAAATATTATTTTTTAAAAAGTAATATGCTAATATAATAGAAAATTTAAAAACTAGAGAGAAGCCTAAAAAAGAAAAATCAATCATCTACTATCACACCATCTAAAGAAAAGCTCTGATATCATCTCCTTCCAGTCTTTTTCCTCTGCTTATTAACCTGGAAGGGATTGATTGTAAAAGGAGGAATGAACTCTTAACATGGGTTCCTGGGTGCGACTGAGGAGAGGCCCTCATCCTCAACAGTGTTTTAGAAATTAAAAATTAAAAAATGGATCGTGAGTTCTGGGATATAAGTTGAGGGAGGGTCTGCCACTAAATACTGCTGAGAAAGGAAGAATTATGGAGAAAGGTAGGCAGGAGATAGTCATGGAAAGACGTGAGAGAACAAAGAAACCCAGGAAGGAATGTAAAGTGTCTCCTGTAGTGCCTGCAGGAGCAATTAGGGAAGGAAAGAGCTTTGGTCGATAAGGCATTTGGCTGCTAACCAGAAGGTTAGCAGTTCAAACCCACCAGCCGCTCTGTGGAAGGAAAATGGAGCAATCTACTTCCTTAAAGATTTACAGCCTCAGAAACCCAATGGGAGTCGCTATGAGTAAGGATCGACTGTATGGTAGTGCGTTTGAGTGAGTTTGTCATAGACCTTGCTGTGAGCATTCAGGAATAATATTGAGGGATTGGTAGATACGGTTGGAATGTGTTCTCTGAAAAAAGGAGAGGTTGCCCTGCAAACAGTCTACAGGAAACTAATACACAATTTTCCCAATGGCCCAGGGTCCTGGGGGCACCTACTGAAATGCACCCTGTACACAAAAGCCGCCTCCTTTCATCCTCTCTCCCAAGTCTGTAGGGCCTAAAGGTTGAGCAGGAGAGACACCCATTGTGAGACTGTGCAGGGGGAGGGGGTTGGAGAGAATGATGAAGCACAGAGGGGACTGTCAGGACTGGGGCCTCTTCCCACCCCATTCTGTGAAAGCTGGGCCGCAGGGATGTGGCTCAGTGCTCAAAAGGGGCTGGGACTGTGGAGAGAAAATCATGCATCTTAGGCGCTAGAGGCAGGTCTCTTTTAATCTTTCACTCTGGTACTCTCCTCCCTGACCGTCTGGGAAAAACCTTAAGAAAAAACATTGCCATAGAGCCAATTCCAACTCATAGCGATATAGCAATCCTATGTTGTGCCGTTGAGTTGGACCCTACTCACAGAGAGCCCTCCTTGGGTTTCCAAGGCAGTATCACTATGGAAGTAGATTGCCCCATCTTCCTTCCAAGGAGCAATCCTATAGGAAAAAAAGAAAAAAAAAAACACTCACTGCTGTGGAGTCAATTCTGACTCACAGCAACCCCTCTTTGGGTTTCTGAGGCGATATCTCTACGGAAGTAAATGGCCTAGTCTTCCTTCCGAGAAGTGGTTGGTGGGTTTGAATAGCCAGCCTTCTGGTTAGCGATATATGATTGAAACATATTAGTAAAAAA